GCAATTTCTGAGCGCCTCGTTTGCCCCCTTAGAAGAGGTTTTGACTACTTTCAATAGAAGTAAACAGTAGATTTATTCTTCCTATTGAAAATTAATGTAGAATATTTGCAAATACTATTTTCATTTTTTTGTACTGATCGTTCTACCGCAGCTAGTTTACGGAAAAAACGATAATATGCACAACTCAAAACGCCTAAATCTCACAATAATGTTCAATAAATTAAATCAAATTAATTACTACTACATCAGAAATATGTTTTTGTTGCAACATAATGTATTAGAATCTTGATTTTCCATCTCATTAATTATTAAAAAACATCTAACCTCCGTGAGTTTTCCCAAAAAATAACGCAGGTTTACCTCGTATTTTGATATTGAATTAAATAGAATTACTATAAAAAACTTTCATAAAACTAATCTACAATCATTTAACTATTGAAATATGTATATATTTTTATAATAAGTTCATTAATTATTATTTTATAAGACTGAACATCACCCGTAAAATGCAATATATACTAGTGCAAATCTAGGCGCCGTTCAGTACGGCGCCAGCGCCTTTGGAGGTCGGACCTATGTCGCTTTGTACTGCACGCGTCCCGAGCGATGCTACGAGTTCATTCATCGTAAAACTGGCTGTATATACTACGACCGCAAAACTTTAATCGTTGACTGTATGTAAATTTCCACAACCGTATCAATTTTTTTTATTAAGTACCTCCCTAGTTATTAATTATCATTGCTTCAACTAATATTTTTGTTATTAGCTTTTACAATGAGGCGTAAAATTCCTGCTTACCATTATGTCAAAAAGAAAACGAAAGAATGATGCAGCCTTAAAGAAAGCTTGTGAAGCAAGGTGAATATGCTTATAACATTTCGCTTTATTTTTAAAGCCTTTAAAATGCCATTAATTGATAAAAAAACATGTTATGAAAGTTATTCATCATTAAATTTCCTACAACTTTTGCATAAATCTTTTTTTTACGAAATAAATACTTTTAAAGTTATGAGTCGTTAACATAGCAATAACGCAGTATATCAGGGTTTTGTATACGTGCAATTGATTGTCATCACTAATATTATTTATAATATTTATATTTTTTTCCCCTATTTTTTTTATTACATTTTTTACAATTAATTAATAACAATCCAACACAAATCATCATCAGCTCCAATTTGTATGAAAGTAAGTGAATTTTTCGGATATCTGTAATTTCATTTCAATGCCCGTTTTTGCGCACATTAACGACTATTAACTTCAAAAGTATTTATTTAATAAAAACAAATATACAAAACGACGAAATATACGTATACGACGTTTTTTATTAATTAAGTAATGACATTTTTAAGGTTTTATAAAGGAAAAACTACAAACATGTTCAAATAAACAACAACAATTGAAAAACGGTAAGAGTTACAATAAAAAGTTTGAGAGAAAGAAGTTAGAGAATTTAGTAATAAACAAAAAAACACTACATTTATTCCGTACAGTCAATAATTTAGGAGATATAGCTATAAACGCGTTTTCCAATAAAGCGGCCAGTTATGACCACCCTACATTCCCCGATTTAAACTTAAGCTTCTTACAATCTACCCTTATGTCTGTAAAAAAAAAGCTAGAGTACGGTAAAATGTTGCATTTCGATCAAGTATAACAAGTATAAGCTCGTGGCGGCAAAGTACATATTAACAAATAATATATTTAGAATAGAATTCACAGTTCTATTTATTTTAGATGGAAACAAAATTTTAATGGCAACCCCGAAAATTCTGAAACTGTACTGTATCATAAGTTCAATGGATTCGATTGCAACGGAAACTGTAAGTTTTTCATATTGTTATTGGAAATAGACAATGAAAAAAGAAATTAAATTTATAACAATAAATTTATTATTATTTAAATTTATAATAATAAATTAATTTATATAGGAAAAAAATGCTGTTGGATTGGAAATCGAAGCCGAGGAACAAAGGGAAGCGTCAAACTCAAATGTAAATATTTTATCTGTTTTATATTGACTTAATGAGTATTTCACTACTACACTTGTACATAGTTTACAATATTAGTAGTTTGGTTTTTTGTTTTAAACTCAAACTAATGGGATGCATTTCTAGAGCAAAAAGTTTATTTTTATTATTTTATATTAGACTTCTTTGCTCCATAAGTTCAATTGACAGTAACTTGCTGATTTACGTACCATATCTGTGTCTGGATTGGAAATGTATTTCCAGTATTGCCTATATCTGTTTATTAAATGAACTATGAAGGCAAAGCAAAACTACACTTAGTACAGTTTTACTGAGATATTTGATTATTACCAAACATCAATCATCATTAAAAAAGTCAATACTAAAACACAAGTAAATAAAATATTATTTCTCATTGCTACTCGAAAAAGTGATTTCATTCAGCGATAACAATGAACAAACTTTTCATTTAATTATTGAGTGAATAAAAAAAAAATTTGAACAAACAGAAGTTATGCAAAGCATACATATAAAGTTACAATAATTAGTAGTAATCATAATTAATCTTTATTGTCATTTCCAAAACACAACCAATGGGTACTATAAATATATTATTTATTTTCTCACAATAGTAAAAAAAACTTAATCCTTGTATCCTTTGCTCCACTCAGGATTCTTATCTAGAATCGTTCGTTGCTACAGTAGGGATACATCTTAGCACTTCAAATTAACTTTATTTTATAATGGCATTTATTGTATAATCCATAATTGCATATTAAAGTATCAGTTTGGTAAAGCGCGCTATTCTGAACATCGCCGCGTCGATGTCTCGCTCGTGCGACTCGGACACGCTCGCGGACATATTTACCTAAACAAGAGAGGCGCAATTTTGTAAAAGGGCTCTTAATTTATGAGCAACGAAAGAATTTGGGTAATAAGTAGGTACTTAAAAAAATGTATATTTAGGGGAATTTAGGGGAATTTAAAAACTACTTAGGGGAAAATTTTAGTAAGGGTTGGTAACACTGTAATCAATATGGCGTCGTGTTTTTTCTTGTGAATTGAAGCTACTGCGTGTTTTAATTGGTTTCCTGTTGGTTTAAATCAGGCTAAATTGTTTGAACCGTATGCTACGTTGTTTTTAACTGGTAAACAATACCGTGTTTAGACAAGGACAGACAAAGTAATTTAACCTCTCTTTTGGCTCGCTCTCCGAAACTAGTGAACCTTCCAGTTGTATGTAGTATTTATTAGTTCCATGGTTATATTGTGCCCGTGTTGGTTCCTCCAAGATTCCCGTCTGATGCGTAGTATCCCCTTAGTAGTTTGTGCCTGCACCCCTCCGTCTGTCAGATAGAAGCATGAACGTTCTAGATATACCAAAAAGAGCAATCCAAACATTTTAAAAAGCATATTAATATATATAAATGCCAACCAATAATTATATAGTATATTATTCTGTTTTTGTTGCCAAATATATATTCTATTTAATAGGTAATTAAACTAGTGATAATTAATCTGTTCATCTTTCATTACATTATTAGGTATTTTGTGGATATTTTATTTCGAAAAGAAATATTCATAAATTGGAATTTTTGTTAGATATGCCCTGACACCGAAAAACTGTGGCAATGACGTTATGATGATGGCCGTTTTGACACATTACAATATTGAAGTAAAAGTCAACTTTTTATAGCAAAAATAAAGTAATGCTGTTAAATGCAAGTCTCATTGCAAACAGGAGCTGATCAAAAGGATTGAATCAAATGAAAAATATAAATGTCTACATAAGCTCAGCGATCCTATGTGCGGCGATCGTTTTGGTTTATTTAATATACATTTGAAATTTAGAAAAATACAAATGCTTAGTTATGTGGTGAATATATATAACATTGCAATTATATTACCACTAGCTGACCCGGCGAACTGCGTACCGCCTTTATAAAAGTCGATAAATGTGGCTATCTTGAATATCTAGCGTAATTAAATTTAGGACTTTACAAGCGAAATAAAACAAACACAAAAAAGTTTAATAGTTTACTCGGATAAATCTAAATATAAAACAAAGTCGTGTTAGTTAGAACACTTATAACTCAAGAATGGCAGGATCGATTTTTATGAAAATCATGATTCTTTGGAATCCTTTCCTCTCCGAATAGCTGAATAACTATTTAAATATTGGAAAAATCACGAAAAAAAGTAATGCGGAAAATCGATTGTCTATAATATAAAAATAAATCGCTGAATGTGTTGCTAAGCGCAAATTTCGAGAACAGCTGAACCGATTTCAATAATTCTTTTTTTAGAATATTCCTTGAAGCACGAGGATGGTTCTTACGAAGAGAAAAATTTAAAAAAATGCCTGAAAAAGTCCAAAAACAACACTTTTCTATACTCCCATGCAAACGATTCGTAATAATACTTAAAAGTCAATTTGAACTTTAATACCATACCATAAATTTCGAATATTAGTGGAGAGGATCCGGGAAGGCAAAACAATGAGGGCTACCGTTTTCTGTCTCACCAGATGGCGCCACTGTTGAGTGAGGTCCTAAATTGTAACTTTTAAAGTTTATTAATACGCACATGAAATCAAAGGTTACATTTAGATCGTATTTTAACACAAAAAAAACATATCCTAAACATAATAGGCCATGCCACAGTGACGCCCAGTTCCGTTTTATTCGGAAAAAATGGGAACATAATCATTTTTCTAAGCTCCAATTTTTAATAACTGACATTCATTGCCACATAACTCATATTTGCCATAATTAAGCCGAATTGTTACCAATTATTCACATTATTTTAATAAGAAATAAACCCGCGTAGTCAACCAACAAGCAATAACATTTGACATTTCGGAAACCTCACGCTACAGTAGCGCCTCTAGCGGCGGATTCATACGCGATAGCCCTCATTAAGTGACGTGATGTCAATAGAAGTTTAGAAAAGGCAAATATACCATTTCAGTTTTTTTTTATAATTATATGAAGAGTCATTTTAGTCTACACTACAGCTCTACACCGAAGCGAAGCGAGGGCGGGCCACTAGTCATTATATAAATTTGGTTTGGTATTCCACAATTGAAAGCTCACGTCACAAAAGCACAAAGTTTACTTGTACCTTCTGCAAATCTGTTACTATAATGTAGATAGAAAAAGATCGCTTTAGAGAGTGATATTGTAATTTAAAGAAAATACTGTAATCATAAGACAAGTTGCAATACTAGCCGATATTTTGGGAAGGAGACGATGGATATATCTTCAACACTATACTGCATCAATCATATAATATAAATATCAATATCAAGAATCCAGAGCCATTTCAAAGTAGTCTAGCTAGTTAGTCTATGAGTGTCTCTGTCTTATCAATAGGCTATGGTCTTGTTACATTTATTGTTATTTTACGTTTATGTGATGGAAGTTGCCCGCAGTACTTGTTTATAAGTTTTCTAAATGACGACACAGAATAAATAAAACAGCTAGAAAAAGGAGCCCTTGCTAAGTTTCTTGCCGGTTCTTCTTAGTCCAGTACAAAGTCTCCCACCGTAGATATGCGAACAGATGGCGTAGCTTTCGACTTTGACGTGTAAAAGCCTAAACTCAATAAGTTAATTTTGTTTTTCTTTGTATCTGAGTTGGGTTGAGCGGTGGCATCGTGTGAGAGCCAAGAGGACCATGGCCCGGGGCGGCGGCATGAGCCATATAAAGGCAACGTTATTGTACTATATTTTGATTTGAATTACTAATTCTAGGGAGGGTGGGTGAAAATCTTGAGTGGCGTACCCTGGGCGTGAGTGAACACAGTAATAACAAATAATAATAACTAATTGGGGGTTTTCTTTTAAAAACATATTATTTTGGGGATATATAAAAATCAGTTTGGGGGAAATAATAAAATTGTATCTGGCAGCCCTGTCTCTGACTGAAGAACTTGTATACATGGTCATGAATATTTAAAAAAAAATTTTTTTTCACAGTCTAAGGACAATGTATCCATTGCCTATAAATTAAAAAAAAAGTTTTTTGATTTGCTGTTGAAATTGCAAGAAAATAAATGGGATTGGGAAAATTTCTGATCTAAAACATAAGTTTATCATAGTGTCATTTATTAGATTTACAATTCTTCTAACAAATATAGCACATTGCTCTCCGTAATGTCGTCAAGTCGCTCAAAATCGACGATATTAGATAAGCCTCTTAGCAAGGGAAAAGGCGAAGTTTCTTTAGCTTTTTATGCTCTTCTGTTTTCCGAAATTGTACAGTATTGTCAGAATCGTTCACATTCTGTACAAGAATTACAAAATAAGTAAGTTCAGGAAAATAAACTGGTTCTACAAACATTTTGATTCACTTTTCACTCTGTAACTAAAATGTTTTCAGACTCTCTGAAATTGGCCAAGACGTTGGAACAAGAGTCTTGGATTTATATTTTGTACGAGAAAGAAATAGTAAAAGGGAAATAAAATTGCTGAATATGTTACTATTTGTAAAGTCTACTCTGTGGAAGGTATTATATGTCACAATAAATGTACAAAGTTGTTACCCTATCATACAATAAACTGTATCACTAATTTGCAGATATTATTTGGTAAAGAAGCTGACAAACTGGAACATGCCAATGATGATGAGAGAACTTACTACATTATAGAGAAAGATGCATTAGTGAGTGCTTGTTGACTATATCATTCTTTTAAATCTGATTGAATAAAAAATAAGAAACAGTATGTATGAGGAGCTCGATGGCGTGGGTAATTAACGCGTTCGGCTGAGATCATTGAAGTTAAGCAACTTTCGCAGAGGTCAGTCAGTGGATGGGTGACCAAAAATCTTCTATCTTCAGTTCCTCCGTGCTTCTAAGGCACGTTAAGCCGTTGGTCCCGGCTGCATCTGCAGTCGTTTGCACCCGCCAATCCGCACTGGGCCTGCGTGGTGGGTCATGGCCCAATCTCCCTATCCTATCCATAGGGAAGGCCTTATTAATAGGCTTTATAAGATTAATGAGCCAGACCATGCATCACATTGAAGGTCTTTACTGTGAATAATTATTAATATTCACTCAAAATTGTGTTAAAGGAGCTGTCAATTTCACAATATTACTAATGGTGAGATTTCACTTGGTTGTAAGCCTGAATACAGTGCCAATGGAATTCAAATGACTTAAGTGTAAATGAACTTAGTCGAGTATGCCCATATTCAGGTAATTTTACACTTTGGTTACCCGAGTCCCAAGAGTAGATTTTCTGCTCTCGATAATATAGTATTGAGTATGAGCAAATTTTAAGTAAGCTTACTTAATAATTAGCTTATTATATTTCCAGGTCAATAAATTCATTAGTGTACCAAAAGATAAAGGATCATTGAATTGTGCTACATTTAATGCTGGCATAATTGAAGCTGTTTTAACAAAAAGTGGATTTGTAAGTATAATACTGTACTGTTTTTTTTAATAGAAAGGTCCGACAAATGACCATCCACCTGATGTTAGGTGACGGTGAAGTCCAGACATGGACACTAGGTTTTTGGTTAGTTTTAAGAACATTTTTGTATTTTTTTTTTGCTATTATTCTGTTTTTAATAAAGTATTTTAATATTTTGTAAACTATATTTATCCAATAAAAAATAATAATTGCTATTTTATTGACGCCGAGTGTAGTATGACGATGTTAAATTTCAGGCGTTTTACTAGAAGGTCATTTTACTTAACGTCATGTAGGTCCGTCATGCCCTGTAGGGCATTTTACTTGGTTCTTCAGATTCAGAGTGGAAAACATCACTTAATTTCTCTTACCTTTTTTTTCAGCCTTCTAAAGTAACAGCTCACTGGCACAAGGGAACAACATACATGGTCAAGTTTGATGATGCTGTTATTGCAAGAGATAAATCACTTGATGATCGTTAACTGAATGCTTGTATTGAATAGTCTGTATTTATGTGAATAACATTTAATATGTAATATTTAAACAATGTAATAATTAAATGAAAAATCGTTCCAATATATTTGTTTCCTTTAAATGATTTTTTTAAAGACTGATTTCTTTTTTATATAAGGGAAAAATTGCTGTTATCCGATTAATTTAAATGCACGATCACAATATCTTATTTTTCCACAAGCACAATCCTTTAAGAACTTGCTGCGTTCATTCCAAACTAAATAACCATAGGCAAAAAAAGGCAATATTGACAATACTCCAGTCATGGCAGTTTTCAAACAAGGTTTAAAGAAGTATAATTGGTAGCCCTTCATAGATACAAAACGTTGCAATGCCTCATCAAACTGAAATAAAAGATGTGCATTGTTAAGCAAGCTGCCTTAATAATCTAAGTCTATTCTGTGCAATCAAAATTAGCAAACTCAATCCAGGTTGAGAGCTCTAAAATATAGAAAAGAAATAAAATACATACAACATAACCAGATTCCATAGCATGTTTGCAAGGGTCAGTACGCTGTTTTAAAAATTCCTTTCTAAATTTTGCTCTTCTTTCTACTTGAGCTTTAATAATTTTGCATTCAATATCAGAATAACATTGTTGAGCCATTTTTGTTAATAGACACTTTCTAAATGAAGTTTAATAATGATAGCATTTGTCTTTTGCTGTCAAAGACTGCTGAGGTTCAAAGCAAGAGGTTTATTTTCTCTATGAGCTAATATTTGACAATTAAGTGGTAAAAAATTATAGTTAGGAAAAAAATGGAATCATTTTGTTGTCCGTCCATCTGTCAAGACTGTTTATCTCAGGAACGGGTGGAGGTATCAAACTGATAGAAATAAATAGTAGTAAAAATAAATTTAGTAAATTAAAATCAATAATAAATAAAATTGGGATATGATAACATTAATCTTACAAGAAAATAAAATAACTATAGTACCTACAACTCAGATAAATTAGGTGTTATGGAACAATTATTAAAATATTTTTTTATATAATGCAAAATATTAAGGTTAGTTTTATGTTATAATAAAAAATATGACAACGACATATTAACACATTTATTAATTACTATACAATCATTAAGTTTAAATACTTTTATGCTAATTTGAATTGTCTTTCTCTGTAGCGAAGTTCTCCTGTTCTTATCAGTTGTTCACGGTCGTTGCGACTATTCCAAACCAAATAACCATATCCTAACATGGGCAAAATAGTAGCACAAATTCCAAATAAGCTGGTCCTCATACTAGGTTTGAAGTGATCAAATTGAGTTACTTTCATTGACATGAACTTTTGCACAGCCGGATCAAACTGGAAAATGTAAGGTGTATGATAATTATCCATCTATAAGAGCAGTTAAAAGTCGTCTAGTCAAGTTCAATGTTATAAACTTGTACCTATATTTTTATTAACAAAATTACGTAACCAATTTACTCACAACATAACCAGCCTCTGAAGCATGTTTCCAAGGGTTGGTTTTCTGTTTTATGAATTCTTTTCGCATAGCAGCACGACGTGTCGCCTGCTGTTTTATAACATTCAGTTCGGCATCTGATATGCCGTAGTTATTAGCCATTTTATCACAATAATTTCGATTGGAATCCCCAACACCAACAAATTGATCTGTTTTTTTTTTATTTCCTTTTTTAGGGAAGGCAAAGGGACAATGCCCATACAGACTAGTCTCCAGGAACTTAATATAAATCTTTTTTTTTTACATTATAATATCGGTGTGACGCATTTTAATGTTTCTTGGAGTGTTTGGCATGAAATGTATCGAGTTGGCTTTTTTGAGAAGCTTCTTTGAGGTAGTCAACACTACATTAAATTTCTCGCGTTCACTTGATCAAAATAACGTATATTTTATGGGCCTACCACACGCACGAGCTTCACCACAGTTTTGCCTGCGCAGGCCGGTTTGTACACGGAACACGGTGCGTGTGGTTGGTAAAACTGTATCACGCGCCAACCCCACAGCGCGGCCTGCGCATTTTTCGACTTGCTTGAAATTTTGCCTGCGCAAGCCCGGCCTGCGCGTACTTGTCTGTGCGTGTGGTTGGGCGTTCAGTGTTCAAGCCACAGTCGAGTGTACTTTGTGTCGAGGCTCGCTCGTCGTTTCATGAGGTCGTTCGTCATCGTCACTCAAAAATGGCAGATTTGCGTACGTACAATCGCGAATTCACGTCTGAATTAATTAGTGTTGAAGTTATGATTTTATGTAAAACCTTCTTGTTAGCGCGACTCGATGGCCTGTTCTCTATGTCACCGTTACTTCATTCTAGGACTTTTGCAAATACGTCAACGGTGTATACCTATAAAAATAAAATGTGATTGGGACTACATAAACTAAATATTACAAGCCGATTGTCTTTCCTTTCTACGATCCACTTCCTCAACATGGTAGCAAAGGAGCGTTGTTGAATAAAATAAATAGAAAGAGGAAGATAAGTGGAAATTATTTGAAAAGGTCAGTACCGAAACAATTGAAGACGTAAGGTACCGAAAATGGAAGTAAAGATAGGAGAAGTGGGCATTCAGATATTTGATGGTGCAAATTATGAAAAATGGAAATTTAGATTAAAGTTGTTGTTACAAATGAAAGAATGCCAAGAAGCTGTGGAAAATGATATGAAACATGAAGGTATGACAGACACGGAATGGAGAAAAATTGATTTAAAGGCAAGAAATATCATAGTGAATAGCGTAAATAATACTCAGCTCGATATAATAATGAATGAAAGTACGGCTTACCAAATGATTAAAAAATTGGACGAGATGTATTTAGTAAAAGGCAGTGCTAATAAATTATTAATTAAAAGGAAAGTACTAGAAACAAAATTCAAAGATGGCGACGATATACTAGAATTCATACAAACATTTGAAAAACAAATCAATGAATTGAAAAATGCTGGAGAAGTCGTGTCGGAAGAGGATAGACTGAACTATTTATTGCTTGCATTACCTGAGAGTTTTGCACATATTGTAAATATTGTTGATGCGATGCCGACAAAGGATCGGACAGTGGAGTACGTGAAGTCCAAATTACTACTTGAAATGAAAAGAAAACAGAACGAACAAGAAGCTCATACGTTCAGTTCTCGATCAAATCAACACCAAGATGGGTCCAGGAATAATGATAACTGCTTTGAATGCAACCGCCTAGGACACTACAGGAGGGATTGTCCTAAGTTAGCACGTCGTGGTCATGGTCGTGGTAGAGGACGCGGATATGGAGGCGGACGACGAGGAACTCACAGAGGATATAGAGGAGGATACAACAATAGAAGCGTGAATACAGGACAAAGTAGCAGCACCAGTGATGGATTTGGATTCAACGTAGAAGTAGAAGCGATGACAGGAGCTACCGAAACGAAAGCGGATATAACATGGTTATTGGACAGCGGATGTAGCGATCACATCGTAAATGACGATAAATTCTTTCGTGATTATAAAATTTTAGAAACACCTGTGAATATTAAGGTAGGTGATGGATTTTGTCTTAAGTCGGAGAAAATAGGAAATGTAACAATGTACTGTAAAGCAGGAGGTAAGTCAAATAAAATTGATGTTTCAAATGTATATTATGTTCCAAATATGAAAAAGAACTTATTAAGCGTTTCATGCATTGTAAATAGAAATAATACAATTCAATTTAGAGGAGAAATAGCAAATATATATAATGTACATATAGGTTTAATGGCCGTCGCACGCAAGAAAAATAAATTGTACGAATTAGATGGCAGAGTTAATTTAGGTGCAGGTACAGTAGCATACACAAGTGGTAACATTATGTCAGAAAAAGAAAAATGGCACAGAATACTTGGGCACCCTAACTTTAAGAAACTAAATGAAATGTGCAGGCATAGGGTTGTAGATGGGTTACCTATCACTTTAGGCGAGGGTTACGTGCAATGTGAAGTTTGTTTGATGAACAAAATGACAAATCTACCTTTTGGAAATCAAAGACGACGGGCAACAGACTTGTTAGAGATTATCCACACGGATGTGGCAGGCCCGATTACGCCCACTGGATATAAGGGGCAACGATACTTTGTGTCATTCATAGATGACTATAGTAGGTTAGCTTATCTATGCTTAATTAATAACAAGAGTGATGTTTTGAATTGTTTTAGAGATTATGTAAATATGGTGGAAAATCAAACAGGTAAGAGAGTGAAAGAAATCAGATGTGACAATGGCGGAGAATATATTAACAACGATTTCTACACTTACACAAAGCAAAAAGGTATTTATTTAAAACCAGGGCCAGCTTATACACACGAGTTGAACGGTGTAGCTGAAAGATTTAACCGAACCATAATGGAGAGAGCGAGATGTCTGCTTACAGAAGCAAAGATAAATAAGAAATATTGGCCTGAATGCGTAATGACTGCAGCATATCTAGGTAATAGAATATTAACAAATACGTATGAGAAAAAAACGCCGTACGAAATTTTTATGGGGAGGAAGCCAAATGTAAGTAATTTAAAAATTTTCGGATCACAGTGTTATGTACGAATTCCAGACGAATTACGCACATCAAAACTTAACCCAAAGGCTACAAAAGGTATATTAGTAGGATACACAGAGACGGGATACAGAGTATTAATAAATGAAAAAATAGTCATTAGTCGTCACGTTACATTTATAGGTACGAAAGAAGAACACATAATAAAGATAGTAAATACTGAAGATGAAACTGATGAAAACGAAGAATTTTATGATAGTGTTGATGACTCAAAGGAAAAATCAAGTAGAGCTGTGACTGAGGAGGTGACGGATATCCGACCAAAAAGAGAAAGGAAAATGTCAGAGAAATATAAAGATCATGTTGTATATATAAATTTTAGTGATGCACTGGTACCAGATACGTATGATGAAGCAATAAAAAGTCCAGATGTAAATAAATGGAAAGATGCAATGAAAGAGGAATTGAACAGTTTGGAAAAGAACGAAACATGGATTTTAGTTGATAGACCAGAAAATAAGAAAATAATAGATGTTAAATGGATCTTTAGGATCAAGTCGAATGGGAAGTATAAGGCAAGAGTAGTCGCACGAGGTTTCCAACAGATGTATGAAGAAAACGAGGAAATTTATTCACCAGTAGCGCGAATGACGACAATGAAAGCTTTATTATCAATTGCATGTGTAAGAGGATGGAACATTGAACAAATGGACGTTGAGACAGCATTCTTGAATGGGAGTATTAAGTCTGAAGTTTATATTTACCCACCTGATGGATATTGTACAGAGAATAATAAAGTGTGCAAACTACAAAAAGCTCTTTATGGATTGCGAGAAAGCCCACGTGATTGGTATGAATGCTTTCACGAATTCATGTCAAGCATTAATTTTAATAGGTCAGACTATGACTATTGTTTGTATACAGAGTGTGTAAATAATGTAAATATATATCTATGTCTGTATGTGGATGATATTTTGATTTGTGGGGAGAAAAATGAGGCAATTGACGAAGTTAAACGGTTATTGAACAATAGATTCCGAATGAAAGATCTGGGAAAGGTGAAACAGTATCTTGGAATAGATGTAGTTTTTGAATCAAAAGAAGGCAGAATGACTTTAAGCCAGGAAAAATACATTGTAAGTTTAGCTGAAAAGTATAACGTAATCGAATCAAAGAACTTTGAGACACCAATGGAAATGAATTTAAGCATTGAACCAAGTCAAGATGTCAGTGCAACGTTAAAGTATAGAAACTTGATTGGAGCTCTTCTGTATGTTGCGAGTGGAACACGTCCAGACGTATCTTATAGCGTAAACTATTTGAGTCGGTTCCAAAATGCTTATAGTGATACGCATTTCAAATATGCCTTGCGAGTTCTCAAATATCTTTACTGTACGAGACATTTAAAGATGAATTATGACGCCGACTACGAAGAACAATTGGACGCTTATGTAGATGCTGATTGGGCCGCAGATAAATCGGATAGGAAGTCGACGACAGGAATCCTTATAAGAGTTTTTAATAATCCGATCATGTGGAAGTCACATAAACAGAAAATAGTGTCAAGAGCATCAACTCATGCCGAGTATTATGCTTTGGCAGACTGTGTTGAAGAAGTACTTCCGTTAATAGGTGTGTTATGCGATTTAGGCGTTGAGATTAGGGATCCAGTAAAAATTTACGAAGACAACAGCGGGGCTATTGCGTTGTCAAAGAACGGAAAGTTTTGTAAAAATTCTAAGCATATTGACATAACCTACCACTTCGTATATGACTATGAGAAAAAGGGTATTATTAATATAGTAAAGGTTCATACAGAAAAACAATTAGCGGATATATTGACCAAGGCATTAGGAAAAAATAAATTTATAAAACTTAGAGAACTGGCAAATGTCAAATGAAATGTTAATGACAGATAGTCTTTTGTTAAGTGATTTATTTATTATGTTAAGTTGTTATATTGGTATTAAGTTGTTTTTGTTGTTTTCTATAAAATCAAGGAGGTGTGTTGAAGTTATGATTTTATGTAAAACCTTCTTGTTAGCGCGACTCGATGGCCTGTTCTCTATGTCACCGTTACTTCATTCTAGGACTTTTGCAAATACGTCAACGGTGTATACCTATAAAAATAAAATGTGATTGGGACTACATAAACTAAATATTACGAGCTGATTGTCTTTCCTTTCTACGATCCACTTCCTCAACAATTAGTTTATACAAATCTCTGCCTGCACTCTGGGAAATTAAATCTAAAGATTATTCCGACCGAAATAAAAAGAACGACGCCTACCATAGAATGATAAATAAAATGAAAGAGGTAATAACATAATTTTGCAACTAAATACCTATGCCTAATACATACTACCTACATTGTTTCCATGCCAATGATTTCGATAAGAATGAGGCTTGCGCGTACTTAACTGTGCCGTGTGGTAACGCACAGTGTACAGTTTTTTCGTGCGAGATGCTTGCGCAGGCCAAACTGTGGTGAAGCTTGTGCGTGTGGTAAGCGCATTAAAGATTCCACTTCAGTTGTGCAGACGGTTGTAATACAAAATCACACCAATTTTATTTCTCAATATCTACTATGAATAATTTAAATAAGACGCCCAACCACATTCGATGTAATCCCGCCAAAAACTTCAATTAATTTGATTGATCAATCTAGAGACATTCGATATAAGTACATCGATGCATCGAAAACATCGATGTATGCAATAAAAAACATAAAAAAGACTTGATTTTTTGAAAAGCTTTCAATATACTTTAAAAAAACATCGAATTGGTAATAGAGTTTGACCACGTAGTGTTAATATCCTCTTTGGTTAGACCTCAGTATATTAAATTTTCATGTGCAGCACTCGCTTTGTGTGACAGGCAGGCAGCGAATTGTCGCCGCGCCGCGGCTGGTATTCGCAGAGAATGCACTCACAGCGAGTATTCGCTGTGTGTGACTGAAGCTCGCTTCGACGCGAGTACCCTGTCGCAAACAGCGAATACTCGCCTGAACTGAAGCCTGACTGAAGCTTGAAAACACTTTTAGGAAGAAAAGGTTACAGACAGGGCTGTATGGACTCAGACTCCTTTGCCCGTTCAACAAAGACAAATAGACCAAAAAAAAAATTAATTGGCAGGCAGACAGATTTGTTTCCGGCCACCATCTTTTTCGTGATACCTTGTTGTCGTTGTCAGATCGGCAAATTTTATAAGCCGCAACCATGGGTCGCATGCACGCACCTGGGTAATTTTTCTCATTCAAATTGTAAAAAACTCAATATTCACACAGTTGGAATAGACATAAGTCGTGGTGTTTTGCATTTTTTTTATCTGATAGCGACATAACCTCGGGGCTCCACATGGCTTTGTACAAAAGTGTCTGTTTTCTGTTTTCAGTAAGGGTATTTCCCAATCGGCATTGCCGTATCGTCGCAGTGTCCCAACCTGGCTGAAATTAACTGCCGATGATGTTAAGGAACAGATTTTTAAACTTGGCAAAAAGGGTCTAACTCCCTCTCAAATTGGTAAGTAGAGGTCGGACTCTAGTGTTTCAAAGGCTTGCATCGTTATAAACTGCACTGAGTAATCAAATAATGTTTTCTCTTTAAATTTTTGCCATATTTGGTATATCACATTTGTAATGATGCTATTGAAGAACGTTTCTAGAGCTATGGTTCAGCTCGTCCATAACATTTGTATGTTTCCGTAAGTTCAGCTGCTTCCAGTTTTTCTTTTACCCATTTAAGATTCAAAAATTTTTTGCTTATGAGAAGATTTGCATACTAAAAATAGTGAAATTTACCTTGTCTTATTTGAAAACATAAGCATATTACATATATCCAAATATATGACTGTATTAGGTTGCACAAAACTGTCTGTTGTACTTAGACCTTCTCTTAAATTTTAGGTGTCATGCTCAGGGATTCACATGGTGTTGCCCAAGTAAGATTTGTAACTGGTAAAAAGATCCTCCGAATCATGAAGGCTATGGGATTGGCCCCAGACCTACCTGAGGATCTGTACTATCTGATCAAGAAAGCTGTTGCTATGAGGAAACACTTGGAACGCAATAGGAAAGACAAGGATAGCAAGTTCCGACTGATTCTTGTTGAATCTAGGATCCACAGATTGGCTCGCTACTACAAAACAAAAAGTGTGCTTCCCCCCAACTGGAAATATGAGTCTAGCACAGCTTCTGCTCTGGTGGCTTAAGTTTTAATAAAATTTAACTTCTAATAATTTTCTTTTATTGTTTCCAACTTTTAACAATGTGAGCAACAGCACCTGTGCCACAATTCTGTTGACTTAAGCAGTTTTCTTTGTATCATCTCTCCCTGTTCATCCTCTGTAGAGGCAGGTTGAGCCCAACAGGCGCTTTCATCACTGAAGCAATATTACACTTCAACTGTAAATAAAACAAAACACATAGTTTCCCTACTATGTAAGACTACACCCAAATGATTTAAATAAACCTTTCAATTTACTAGCTGATAATGGTAAAGCTATTAGGTATTGCAAAAAATGATTTCTGAAATAAAAACTTCCTCAGGACTATACTATCTCTATGCCAAATTTATCTAAATTGTTTAAGTGTGAAGAGGTAACAGACAGACACGCTTTCCCATTTATGATGGAAGTGTACAGCAGCAGACTTGACTTGCCATTGAGCAAAGGGAGATAACCTATTGTGTCATTCTGCTCCTATCTATATCCTTTTATTCATTATGTGATCTTCACCAGTTTTTTTATTTCTGCAGATGAATTTGCTCACTTCATACTGTGGGTACAAAGTAAAATTGAACACCATCTTTACCTCAGTATCTCTGAATCCATAAACAACTATATTATTTTTATTACGCATATTATTTAAATACGTCAGTACATTTGTTTAATATGATACCAATTTAATACCATTATTAGACATACTTATATCACAAATGTGAAAGTTCAGTTATCTCTTTATGCTTAAACTGCTGTGACAATTTAGATAAAATTTCGTATAGAGATAGTCCAGTCCTGGGCAAGGAAAAAGGACTTTTTTATTCCAGAAATGATCTTTTGTAATGCACACCAGCAATATCTAATAGTTTTACCATTAGTTTTCTTCATGATATTAAATTGGTTCCCAGATAGTTTTTTTTTTCATTTGGCAATTTAATCTAAAAGATTTTTCCACTGTTTGTTATTGAAGTGTTATCCTATATTCTTAGATAAAATTATGAGCCAAATGATATTGTTTTATAAGTACACAGCATTAACGATAATCGCTAAGGGAAAGGTAAATAATTAAAGTCTGACTGAACAGAATATTTTCTTATTTACAATTTAACTACAAGTAAACAACCAATAATACAAAATTAACTTTTTACAATAAAATCCTATTACAGTATTGGAATTTTATACATATGGATTCCAATTGCTTCCATCTTCAGGGTGTAAATTATTAGTGATAAGTAATATCACATCAACTATCCACCAAATACCCAACCCTCCGAGAGTCAGTAATTTTCCAACAGCTGTTCCAGTTTGTCCTAGGCAAAACCGATCCATTCCCAAGAAACCAAGCAAGATGCTATAGATCAGAGTTGTGGTAAAATAGTGTCCAGAGTATCGCACGCAAGGGAAACCGTCTTTCAAGAATGTTCTACTTCCATGACACTCAATATTGTCTAACGCCTTACACTGCACTTTGGTACGTTCAACTTTTTCATACAACACTCCTCCAAACTTCACACATCCATGTCCCGTCGCATCCCGGGCTGTCTGGTTGCCTTTATGGTCAATTGGATGATCACAGTTTAAGAATTCTATTGGCAGAAAACTACATTTCACTAGGGGCCCAAGAGGACGGTATGGTTCATCGGCATAGGGATTGCTGTCTGTAAAACATACTGGTAAGATAGAGAGAAATATCAATACTAATCTATTTGTGTTACTTGATTCTGTCATTTTTTTAACAATTTATGCCATTTTATCCACACATCAGAATGAGTAGAATTTAATAAATACAACTTTTGCAATTTGTTTGCCATCACAGTTTTTCTTTTTTTGATCAATTTGAACCTGTTGGGACGGGCAAAGGATTCTGAGTCCATACAGCCCTGTTTTTTCTTATTTTAAGCTTTCTTTAACTTGCAATGGTGTCAATTCTGGCGTGATTCTCTAAACTTAAAACTAAATTTAAGGTCAGTCTCACCTTTTCATTCTGTATAGAGAAGGACAAGGATGCACTGTTGTCAAATTTAAGTTTAGCTTTAGAGAATCATGCCAGAATCGACATCAATGTATTGTATATTATGTTTGATCGGTTGGAATCTTGCAAGTCAAATTTAAAGCACATATGCGTAGTATCCCCTTAATATTCTCTGGGGAGGTTTCCACAAGTGCAGTTGGCGTCCTATTTTAAGTATTCTTTAATTCGTTTCAATGGATAGTTTTTTTTTTATAAAATTGGTGTGATTTTGTGTTATAAGTTTACAACCGTCTGTGCAACTGAAAAAAATAGTGGAATCTTTAAAATACAATTTGTTCCGGTCAAGTGGACGTGAGAACTTTATTGTTGTATTGACTACCTCACAGAAGCTCGTCGAGAAAGCTGAGTCGATACACTTCGTGCCAAACACACCCAAGAATTAGAATGTGTACAAAACTGTAGTCTGAAAAGGGAGAACTTAAAAAAAAAACTAAATACGAGGCAGTATGGGCACTGTTTCCTTTGCCTTCACAGAATAGGGAGAACTTAAAAAACAGAAATAAGTAGCTTTCTGTCACTGTCAATGTCATTTTTGTCTTCGTTTCTGCTGGGGTTATTGACTGTTGCTATCTAGGATTTAGGAATGAATTTAGTATTTTTTGCTAACCAGTAACAAAAATGGAAGTGTTTAATAAGTTTTACTCCTCCGTTAGTAATACTGTTTCACAGTTATCAGGAGTATTACCCGGTAATCCGGTAACTAGAGAGTTTGAAGCAACGCAATTTGTTGCCAGCGCTGGTCCAGGTAAATAAGCCACATCTGCTTGAAACAATGACTGTTTCTTGGTATATTCTGTCTATTGTGTTTTTAAACGTCTTGAATGGTTATAGGTTTACTATGGAAAATTTATAAGGGCTACAAGAAGTCTACAAAGCAAGAGGCTTCAATATTTGTCTTTGAAAAGAAACATCTAGATAGGTGGTCTAAAGCCGACAGAGACATAATGCTGGAAACTTTGAGGCGGGGTATTGTTCAGTTAACGAAGCTGCGACACCCTCAAATACTAACAGTTCAACATAGCCTTGAGGAAAGTAGAGAAAGTCTGGCTTTTGCAACAGAACCTGTTTTTGCAAGTTTGGCTAACATTCTAGGCAATACTGAAAACATGCCACAACCAGTACCGAGTCACTTGAATAATTATAAGCTTTATGAATTAGAGATAAAGTATGGTTTAATGCAAGTCGCAGAAGGTTTAGCATTCTTGCATAACGATGTTAAGCTTCTACACCATAATGTGTGTCCGGAGTCAATTATAGTGAATCAACAGGGTGCATGGAAGATATTTGGGTTTGACTTTTGTATTGCTAACCAAAGTGGACCAGGAGTTGCCCCATTCTGGCCATTTAATGAGTATTGTCAAGCTATGCCGCCTTTGACACAACCCAGCCTTGATTATTTGGCTCCTGAATATGTCCTGTCAGCTACCCACTCGCCAGCCAGTGACATATTTTCTCTTGGAATGGTGATATATGTGGTTCACAGCACTGGCCACCAAGCTCTAGGGAATGTTGGTAATGATTACACAAAATTCAAACGGTTTGTTTCTGAAATCAGGAATTTGCCATCTTCTCGGTTAACATGTGTGACTGAAGGCCTTAGGGAGTATGTCAAACTTATGCTGAATGTCACTCCTGAACTAAGACCAGATCCACATCAGTTTCTCAAAGTAAGCTTTTTTTTTTTTACTATTGCAATATGTATAGTAATAGGCTTATTTATCTCAATATTTGTTTCTTAGGTTTTCACTCACATCACTCATTAAATAAAACTAGTTTTTACGGGTTAATGCACGAAAACTTTATTTATTTATTGACGTAATAAAGTTTTCGTGCATTAACCCGTAAAAACTAGTTTTATTTATTTATCTCAAGTTTATAATTATATCTAATGATAATCATTTAAATACAAGTATGTCAATATTTTATTGATAAAAAGTTTGCAAATAAGCTTCTGTGGTATCGGGTTGCCAACCCTGACCCAAATCCACACCCTGTGAAGCCCTGAAAATGTACACTCTTATAGAAACATAACATCACCAAGAGATAGTGTTTTTATTGTGTAATCTTTGTGTTTTATGTAAGCTGAAAGTTACTTTCCGAACAGATCCAAGCTGAATATCTGCTTTTCCATGTCTTCTTTCTGATATAATATTATTTGTTTGGGTTGCTAGAAAATTGAGTAGCAGTCATCAATACAATCAGAATAACTTGTATATGTGAACATTCATTATCAGTATAATATATTACATATTTCTTTTGATTTTCAGCCAAGCAAGGAAGTTATATACTTAATAGTCAAATTCATACTTAAACATTTAAATAATTGACCTCTTTCCCTTGTTTTCAGATACCATATTTTGAAGATGTAGGGGTGAAAACACTGAATTATCTAGATTCTTTATTCCAATGGGATAATTTACAAAAGTCTCAGTTTTACAAGGGCTTACCGCAAATTATACAGAAGATGCCTCATCGAATATGCATTTATCGTATACTGCCATGTCTCACTAAAGAATTTGTGAATCCACCAATGGTGCCATTTGTGTTACCAAATGTTCTGCTTATTGCTGAGAACTCCTCAAAAGAGGAATACATTAAATATATTTTACCGGTTTTAAAACCAGTCATGATGATTCAAGATCCCATACAAATATTGCTTATATTCATGCAGAAAATGGAACTCTTACTCAAACTGACACCAGGAGAAGAGGTTAAAAGTGACATTTTGCCAATGTTGTATAGAGCTTTAGAATCGGATGCTCAACAAATACAAGAGCTTTGTTTGTCAGTACTCCCTACCTTTGCATCGCTAATTGATTACCCGGCAATGAAGAATGCCCTCTTGCCTCGTATAAAAAAGCTGTGCATGAGTACTAACTACATATCTGTGAGAGTGAATTGTTTACTGTGTTTGGGAAAACTCTTAGAACATTTAGATAAATGGTTGGTTCTGGACGAAATCATTCCGTTTCTACCACAAATACCATCTAGAGAGCCTGCAGTGTTGATGGGGATTTTAGGTATGTACAAACTTTTGTGGCTACTTAGCCAGCATTTTGTTTTTAATATAATTAAATAGCTATTTGTGTCAGATGTGACAAGTGCAGTGCTTAGAATGAAAGTAAATGTACTTTTTATCATACCTCTTAGTCGGGCACTGTTGTCAGAGTGGTTGTGGTTGAGCTAACGAGGTACATGGTGAGGTGTTCTTTGGGTCGCTATCAATTCCGTGGGTAACTCTCCTGGCGATGTGCTTCCATTTCTGACGGTTCGCAGCGTCGCGAGTACACTGTCTTGCCTTCCACCTCATTTCTAGAGATGTGTCCACAGTTGACGAGAGTCTGTCTTTAGCATACACTATGATATAAATAAATGCCATGGATTTTCAGGAATTTACAAACTTGCATTAAGCCACAAAAAGTTGGGAATTACAAAGGAGGTGATGGCTACAAAAGTGCTACCGTTTCTTATTCCTCTATGTGTAGAGAATGGCTTAACTCTCAACCAGTTTAATGCACTAATCACACTGGTCAAACAAATGATCTCCAAAGTGGAAACTGAACATAGAGCAAAACTAGAGCAGCTCAATTCTATACAAAATGAATCAAAGTAAGTGCTTGTCCTTTAATTTTTAATGAACACAGCTACAAAATAAGTAGTAAAAAAAAAAAAATTTCATTGTTTCTTTTTTATAATTATTTTTTGTTTTTATATTATCATTCCAGGCAAGCATAAGACTTATTTTTCCACTATTTTAATATTTAAATTAATTATTGAAAATGTAGTTCACATTTATTTATTTTAAGCACTAAACTGCTTGAATTTTTCATATAAAGAAAATTTTATGACAAAATAAAATCCACTTATTCAAGGATCCAGTCTTACACATTGGCAGACTGGATTTTTTATAGTATTATATTTTTAATACAACATGTATCTGGTTCGTTATGGATTTAGACCCTTTTAGAACGTTATCATCTTTATTTTACAGAGTCATGGAACAAGCTTTATCGACAACCACAGACAATCTTGTATCAGCACCCCCACCACAAACGGATATAGACAAAATGTTTTCAGGACTAGGACTTGATCCATTTTCCTTCAATAACACCAAGACACCCGATAAAACTGAACCTGCATTCTCTGGCTTGGGAGACAGTGGTGGCTTGCTAACCATTGAAGATAAACAAAGGTGAGATCTATTTACAAATGGTGATGTGTATTTGATGTATACTATTTTGAGCATTCAACTGCTAGATTTATAAATCTATAATGAATTTTTTTACTAGAAAAGAAATATTCATTATTATTTTCTTATTTCCATGAAGTTCAGGCATCAAACAGCCGCCTAAACAGCGGCGGCACATTACGAATCCTGATTAATCTGTCTGATAATTGAACCGCGTTAAATTTTCAAAATAAAAATCTTTAGGTGATTTTTGGTTATAGTTGGTATTTTTAGGAGAGATAATTTCTTCTTCTTTAAGAAGAAGAAGAAGTAGTCATATTAAATTGAAGTTAGGACTTTGATTAACGACGTTTCTATTGTTTACAACGATACTCTAGATACAACACCACAAACTAAATTGTGGCCGTAACCTGTCCAAAAGGTACTACAATTTGATTCTTTTCGTGAATTTTGTAAGTTAGAACAATTTAATGATGTTCCAAATGTGTACGGTACTAAATTAGATCTAATACTGAGTGATCTTGCTTCTGATCAGGTGAGAGTATCTGTAAGCCACGAGCCATTGGTACCGATTGATAAATATCATCCTGCACTGGTATTTTTTACAAAACTGCGTCGTTGTACTGGACCGTTAATATACTTATAATTGCTCTGCAAAGCAACGGCGAAGTGATTGTCCTAATTGGAATTGGCGCAAAGCGGATTTCCCAACATTATATGCAGCTTTGGCTAAAATAAACTGGAGTGACTTATCACTGAAAGATAATATTGATAAAATGGTCGAGTGTTTCTATGTGAAATTGTACGAGTGTTGTCATCGCTTTGTTCCATTAAAAAAACATGACCAACGTCAAAGTCGTTATGTATACCCTACTTGGTATAATTCTGAAATAATACGGAATCTTAAGTTTAAATACTATCACTTAAAGAAATACAAGTCAGAGGGAAAGGAATTCAATCGGGAACTTTATAAATTTTATAGATGGCATACTAAAAAGTTAATTGATAACGCGTATCAGCAGCATATAACTCGAGTACAAAAAAACATATATGAGCAACCAGCCCAATTCTGGGGATACGTTAAGGACAAGAAAAAAGATAGGCGATCCATGAACGATCTCACTTACCAAGGAGTAGAGGTAACAGGACAGGCTGCTGCCGAGGCTTTTTCTCAATACTTTAGTTCTGTTTTCCGAAGTGATTCACCACGGCTCAATCCGATAGAAGCTGCATGTGCTGCGCATTCTCAGATGGATGCAAGAAGCATTGCTATCAACTGCATAATCAAAACCGATATAAAGACTGCAATAAAGAAACTTAAGGCGCAGTCAGCTGGTGGGCCTGATGGTGTGCCAGTGTTTTTGGTGAAGGATTGTGAGTCGATTTTCTGCACTCCGCTACTATACATCTTCAATAAGTGTCTGGATGTTTCAAAATACCCTACTTGTTGGAAGCTATCACGTGTAACGCCAGTGCCAAAAGGTAAAGAGTCCAACGGTGATGTTTCACAATACAGACCGATTGCCGTCCTTTCAGTATTTTCAAAAATATTTGAAACTATTCTGAATAGTCATATTACCAGACAAGTTGAAAGTCAATTGAGTTGTAGTCAGCATGGTTTTCGCAGGGCTCGTTCAACCACGACTAATCTTGTTGAGTTGGTGGATTACATCTCTGCAGAAATGGATGCGGGACGGCAGGTAGATGCTGCTTACTTCGATTTTAAAAAAGCTTTCGACTTAGTAGACAATGACATATTATTAAGAAAATTAGCATTGATAGGTTTCACGCCAGGGCTGCTAAGGTTCTTCGCCGATTACCTAAACAACAGACGCCAGTTTGTAAGAGTGCGTGGTTTTGATTCTGCGGAATACTTTACAAGGTCCGGAGTCAGTCAAGGAAGCACATTAGGTCCAACATTATTTCAAATAATGATAAATGATTTGCCGTTGTCTATTGGGACTGCTCGATGTCTTCTTTTTGCGGATGACTTGAAGTTATTTCTGGGCATAAAGGATGTCATGGATGCAAAAGCTTTACAAACTGATATAGATGCGGTGTCAAAGTGGAGTTTAGTAAATCACCTGCCCTTTAATAGCGACAAATGTAAAATCATTACGTACTCTCGCAAACGTTCCCCATTAAAAATAGATTATAAGATAGGCGACACCTCTGGCAACAGAGTTAGTGAAATTAAGGACTTGGGATTAATTTTAGACGATAAATTAGACTTTCACAAACACTGTAACGTCGTATTTACGCCGTCACATACATAGATAAATAATATATGGTTTGACATCCGTCACTTAAGGATTTTCCCTATTTTTTTTTAATAAACGAAACACATCTTTAAAAATTGTCTTAATTTCATAAAACATTAAAATAAATACGTAATAATTGTTATTCTAAATTTAAGAAAACTTTTGTAATTTATGGTTAGTCCATGCCCAAATTTAAATTTTAATGCGCCAACACTGAGACTCGCGGCGTTTTTGGAAGTGCGACCTGGCAACATTACTTTTCGGTTCTTTGCAGGCACGAACAGTCACTTTTAAAAATGTGAAATATAATAATAATTTATAGTTCGGTTTCTTTTTCCAAAAATGCGCTCATCGCATTTTTGCAAACTAATATTGGTGCCAATGGCCCATTAGTAAAACTTTAAAAGAGCTGCGATTGCAGGTAAGAATTAAGATTAAAATCGTCATACATAGGTATATCTAGCCATGTTGCCTGGTCTCACAAATGTCTCTTTTGTTTCAGCTCTTTATGTGATCTTTATACTCTTTATCTTGTCTTTATACTCTTTAGCTTCATCTTTAATTTTAATGATATCATAAATATCATTTTGATATCCTTGACCATGGACCAGCCATAATAGTCTAAGTAAAACCAATACTTAATGTACTTTGACGCCTGGAATCCAATCTGGTATGTACACTTTCACAATAAATAATTGAAGAGGAAAACACCTTTATCATTCAACCCTAGTCAAAACTGCCTTTGAGATTAAAAGCTGATGTTCCCGTAAGTTATTCCGGACACCTGGAGACGCTACCAGCTTCCCGGCGCCCGTTACAACTCTCACTTTAAATGGAAGCTGAGAAGCTAAATCGGCTACCATCACCCGGCCATCGCCTCCAGAATTTTTCGTTCTTTTTTTGAAATAACCAACTAAATAAATAGTTTACACACCTTTTTTTTATTTTTTTTACCTTACAATGTCGCCTCTCACATAGGGACAGGATTTTGACTAGGATATTTTGTAACTTTGTAAGTGAAATATAGTTATTTTGCTATATCCATCATAACTTTTACATTTTGCATAACATAAATTCATTAATTTTTCACTTTTGAACTGAATGTTATTATCACATAACATACATCGAGTAACTTTTTCCATTTTTGCTTGAAAGCTTTGTTTTGGCAAGCTTATAGCCATATTTTACTTTCATTATAAACTAATTTGCTATTATGTAATTAGTACATAATATATTTTAGAATAAATAGATTCTGAGAAGAAAATGTGATGCTAATAACCGTTCACACAACTTTCTTTGACCATATTTTGATATTTAACAAATTATTTGCAAATAGTCATTGCATAATATTGTTGTTTTGTTATTTAATGTGCATTTCAGCTTTCAGCAAGAAATAAATATTGTTTCATGCATAATTTACTTGTGTTAACCTATCATTTACAGAATTGTGTAAACTTAATATAAGTTCAAGTAAGTACATGTGTTTATTACTAAGTGTTTACTGAAAATAGTTTAATTGTTTAATCCTGTTGTTAATCACTTATGCACAGTGTCTATTAATCAGTTTTCTATGCAACTATCAATGCAAAATTAACTTTGTTTTTACAACAACAATACATAACAAGTTTTATTACATGTCAAACTTAAGTTTTGTACATTGAAGTTCAAATGTTTTGATATAGTATCAGGTTAATTCTGATATTATACTGGTTAATTCATATTCCTGAATAACTGTTATTGTTTAATTTAACTGTAGGTTTCCATAAACATTGCATTTAACTTTCCAATTTGTCAATAAATTTCTACTTAAACTTTCATTGCAAATCTTAGTATACAATGATATGAGATAACTTTTATTGCATAAAGTGTTTGTTTACAAGAATTAGTTCTTGGTAATTCTTATTTTTATTGAATAATTGATAAAATTATTGGATTTTAACCTTAAATTAATGTTAGTTTTATAAAAACAACTTAAATTTATTAGAAAACATTACAACTTGGTAGTTTTTGTTAAACTTACAATATAGTTTAATATTTTTCTGTGAAATAGAGAAAATAACTTAAGTCTTATAAGAATCTTACACTATGACGGATAAGGAGTGTCAAACTGATAAAATCATGGCAGGAACTTCAGAAAATAAGTCAAGAAGGGTTTCTGTGGGTTCAAAACAGGATGAAGATATGATTACTTTAGATGAAACACACGTTAACTTTAACCGGAATATGGGTGCAGAAAATTTTCCATCCCTTTTAGATTCTTCAAACTTTAACCAAGGTATACTTGATAATAATTTACCGTTGGACAATAGTAATTGTGCCAAACATACTGTTGTTTATCGCAAACCTTTTGATTTTTCGAAACTTAACCTTACATATAGTGGGAAAACTTGTCCAATAGAATTCTTGAACCGGCTTGAGGAGTTAAAAGCAGTGAAAGGTTACACCGATCAACAATGTTTTGTTGCATTGCCTGTATTGTTGACCGATTTAGCCTTGAAATGGTATAGAGGAAGAAAGGATCACATTTTTGGTTGGATTCAATTCTCATTGGAACTTAGGAAACAGTTTACTTCCCCGGATCACTTTTATAAGTTGGAGACTAAAGTTAGGAACAGAAAACAGAAAGTAGGTGAAACTTTGAGTGAGTTTATTATAGAAATTTTACATTTATCTTCTCAATTACTTGTTCCCATTAGTGAACGCAACCTTTTAGAAATTATTAAACATAACATGCTTCATAGG